CTTAGTGTAGATTACAAAACAATTACAATTTACAAAATCATATTAAAAAAAAGTGTCAAAAACCAGTTTTGTTATTTTGAAAACCAAATTACATCTCAAGTTGAAATAGGTCAATTTATGAGATGATTTAAAAATTATCTTTTTCAAAACAATACGTATATAACAAACATTCAAAAATCAATAAAAATAAAAAATCCAAAAGCAAAATTTACAAAACCTTTTCAAAAATCTCAAAAAGTGTCAAAAATCAATTATTTTGGTTGAACTTGAAGACCAAAATTTTATTTGAAGTTTAAATTATAAAATAATTTGAAAATTATTTTATTAAAAAATTATCACTTTATAAATTTTTTGGGTAATATTTGTCACCAAAACTCGAATTTTGTGAAAAAACTACAAGTGTGAGAGAAAGAAGTTAATTTTTTGTACTCATTCTCATTCATTTATTTGCTTTGTGTAGTTATCATTTTCGAGACACTGTATATTAAAAAAAAACTTTTTATCTTGCTCATTTATTGTACCTATGAACCTATTTGAGCAAAATTTACAAAACCTTATTAATAAAAATTGATGAAAATCAAAATTACGTCTCAAGTTTAGAAACCTTGAAACAGGTCAAATTATGAGATTATTCAAAAATGATCTTTTTCAAAACAATATATCACAAATATTGAAAAATCAAGAAAACTAAAAAATCCAAAAAGCAACATTTTCAAAAACCTCAAAAAGTGTCAAAAATTAATTATTTTAGACCAAACTTAATTTCATCTGAAGTTTAATAATTCTTGGAATACCTCAAATTATAAGATAATTCGCAAATTATTTCATTAAAAAATTACCTAACTCATTTATTGTATTTATTTAAGTAAAAGTTACAAAACCTTATTAATAAAAGTGTTAAAAACTTATTTCTTTTTTGATTTTGAAATAGGTCAAATTATAAGAATATTCCAAAATTAATTTAATACAATTTAATACATTTTTTTTTAATTTTTTAGATGATTTTTGTTCCCAAAACTCAAATTTTGTAAAAAAACCCAAGTGTGTAAAAAATAAGTTAATTCTTGCGGCCTCTGTGTATTAAAAAAACTTTTTATCAAATTTTACAAAATTTTATCAAAAAGTGTCAAAAACCTGTCTTGTTTTGAAGAACAAATTAAAAACAGAACTAAGACATTTTAACTAAATCAGTTTTTTTGTATTTTGAAAGTTTTATACCAATTTTTCTCCACCATTAGACAGATTTTTTTTTTATTTTAATGGTTTAAGTGTAAAAAATCAAAAAGTTGTCACTCTTTTTTGATTCGCCCTGTATGTGTATTAAAAAACAGTTTCTTGGCCATTTGGGTAAAAAAAGATTCAAATTTTTGTTAGTGATTTTGCTTCTAATTTTTGTCACAAAAACTCGAATTTTACTACATTTATTTTTAGGATGGTTCAAAAAT